TATATATATATATATATATATATATATATATATATATATATATATATATATATATATATATATATATATATATATATATATATATATATATATATTGACACAAAAAAAAAAACCCCCACATAGATATATCTCGCGGAGACACAAAAAAATATTTTTTGTTGTGTGAGTGTGTATATATATATATATATATATATATATATATATATATATATATATATATATATATATATATATATATATATATATATATATATATATATATATATATATATATATATATATATATATATATATATATATATATATATATATATATATATATATATATATTGTGACAATAAAAAAAGACCTGCACCGAAAAGATATATCATGCAGAAACCAAGAAATAATGTTTTATGTTGTAGGAGTGTGGTTTATTCACTGATGCAGTATGTCAGTTCAACAGGATCTTCCGGATGCAGTCAATTGATACATAAGCCAACTATATATTTACACCGTGACCAATTTTGTGGATCCCTGGATATGAATCCAAGAAAGCACCAATTTCAAATTTCTACATCTTCCATTGGCCAAGCATTTCACAGTTCAAGGTAAACAAAGGAAAAAAAAGAGTAATTCTATAATATCTCAAGAGGCAAAAATCTCGCGATGAGACGACGACCGAAGATCAAGCTTCTTGAAACACCGAGTCTTTATATTTCTTTTACTTGAGAGAAAAGCCACCAGTCGATATCTTTACAGCATCAGAATCCGACAGTGCGACTTTCCTCACTTCGCAGGTCACATAGATTGAATTCAGTTGAAAATTTTTCTGTCTATGCAGAAATTTTCGCTCCAGATAAGTGAGAAAATAATTTGTCTCCATCTGTTTCAGAACATAACAGCTTAAGTAAAACAAACTAAATTCCAGATGGTAATGTCTGCTAATAGTTCAACATGAAGTTGAAAAACACAATAATCTTTAACTGTGAGCAAATAGGGAGTATTATTTCTGCCGCAAATGGCCTAAACATTGACAACCAAATTCTTAAACAGACTTGTCATGGCATGAAATCTAATGGTCTTTTATATAGAAAGTCCTAAACCATACAAGTCTGCTGTCAGCTTCAGTCCAAACTATTCCTTCCTCAGCCTCAGACAGTAGCACATAAAGCTCAACTAACAAGTATCCTTAACAATCAGGTGAGTTTGTGATGATTTTATGCACCATTTTCCTAACATTAGATTTAAAGAATAAATTCTAAGGTGATGTCAGAAAATCAAGCAACCTGGATTTTATTTTTATTTTAATTACTTACGTCCAAAGATTAAGGACCAAATACTTATTTACAAAGTTTTTTGGTCGAGTAATTGAAGTTCGAATCTTAGATCTTCCCCTCAGTTTCCCTTTGTTACAGCACAAATTTTCCCCCGAATTTTTCTATGTAAAACCCAATGCTCACTTAAGTTCAGTTGTCACTTAGTTCCAGATACTCTTTTTTCAGTCAATCATTTGCACTGTGCAAGCGTTGACTACCTTGAAGTAAGAACAGTTACTCCTATTAACATATAAATGTAAAAACACAAACAAGGTCGACTACAGAGCACATGCTTGAAACGTATGTTAGAACTCATCAATTTACTTTTGAGATTTTGATTTGTTAGCACAAGCAAAACTTTTCTCCATAAAAGAGTTAATTAACAAATTCAGGCAATAATAACCAAATATTTGTAAGATCATCAACAGAATTTGTTAATTGAGAGGGTGATCTCGAGAGATCACTTAATCTAGAGCATATATATCTGAAGTGAAATGTTTGCTGAATCGACAAATGCAAAAAAAAAACACTTATTTAAGAAGTAAATGATAATATGACGATCTGATTACAGCATTCATATTAAAGCTCAAGGGAAGAGGAGTTTCTCAAAGTGGAAAAGACAGGCAGAAGAGTGATTCCATAATCCAACATAACCATATGTAGGTCGTTCAGGAGAAAAACCGAGTAATCTTACCTTTTTAATCAGATAAACCACATATAATCAACAAAATGGTAACTGAGAGTGGAATGCCGTGTGAGATGAACTGCTGCTGGCTAATGTGGAGATATGTAGATAGGAATGCAACACGTATCATGCACAAAAGAGAAGGGATGTATGTCATGGAAAGGAAAAATGTGGTAACACTAGATCTGAGGCTTGTCATGCTTCAGCAAATCTGGGACAAAAAGTACAATAAAAGCATCTAGAAAATAGTTTATAATGCTGTCTGGAAAGATTTATGGCAGCTGACATCATAATTCTATTCAATTTTGGTCTGAGAGTACCAAAGCATGCATGTTTCCACTATGCAGTCATCAGAAAAGATGTGTGAACTGTGAAAACTGATCACATTTTACCTTCTACCAAGCTAGAGTAGTAACAAAAGGTTTTAAAACGATTTGAAAACTATCTAGTAGTGACATACAATAAAGCATTTAAAACAAGCTCTAGGTGGACCCAAATAAGATTCTTCTTGAGCTCCAATAAGCAGATCTATAACCATACCAGTTTCCAAATTCAAATGCCATATTAATTATGCTTGTCGCACAATCGAACTTCCGTAGCGAAGAAAAGAAACTAGAGAAAATTCATAAGCTCACCTATACACGCGCTTGATGTGCCACTGCAACTATAAGTAAAACACTAGAAGTAACATGATGCATTGGCCTAAAAAACGTATTAGTAATTTGAGCATCCAGGTAAACATGTCAATAGAAGTATGGAGATTGTGGTGAAACATCGCTGTCCTTAACTCCATCTGGGGTGGTTGATCTAGACGTTTGGTTGCCTCCAATTATTAACCTTACGTTCTTTTACATTCTGACATATCTTCAAAATAACTAACAGGCATCCAAATTCAAAACAAACAAAGGGGTGAGGCTGAAACCAGAAATTATGAAACTCAGGAGTTACTGCGCAGTAAAGCTCTATTGTTATTCAGATGAACTACTTCAGAAAAGGCAAATGTTAACCATTAAGCAGAGGGAGTATTTTAGGCACCTCTAGAAAGCCAATATCATGCATCTTTCCAGGAGAGGCAAAATACAGGCATGATGGATGAACAACAGAAATCAGCAGCCCATCACAGCACAATTATAAACAAAGCTTCCTGAATGCTTGCTTGCCATCATATTCCATATAGGTGGCCTCCCATTTGGAATCCAAGAATTGAGCTCAATTACCCCTCCATGAGATTCTCGTGGCCCACCAATAACTATTAGCCGTGCACCACAAGCACGGAAGGCAAGGCCCCAACCGTTCATTGAAACAGACCTTTCAGGTAACTGCCCCAAAGTTACCCATGTATTATTCTCCTTAATATACTTCCTCACCTCCTTGTCAGCATAATGAGCTGCATAGAGCTCATTTTTCACCACAGCAACAAGTGGAGGCGCACCACTGGCACCATGGAGACCAGCAGACATATCAGGAATCACCCTCCATGAACGTCTCTCGAAGTCATACTCTTCCCCACATGTCAGCACATTCCTGTCAGAATCCATGCCGCCAATGACATAGAACTTTCTATCCATGAACACCCCCGAACACATCTTCCGTGCCCTGTTCATACTGGGCAAGGTCTCCCAAGTCTGTGTCTCAGAATTGTAAAGCTCTGCAGAGCTAAGTACGTCACCTTCCGCATTGGTGCCACCGGCTACAACAGCTTTCTCTCCAAGACTAGCAGATCCAAACAAGCACCTAGGTGAGTTCATTACCACACCAGGTGACCAGGAGTTGGTTAAAATGCTATATCTCAGGACCATGTAGGAATTCAGCTCCTTTCCAAAAACAAGGAGATCGGTGCCCACAGCAAGGGATTCCTTATCTGAGCACATAAAGCTTTCGGTAGGGGGCATCTTAGGAACAGCAATCCAGCACTCACGGTAGGGATCGTATGCCTCCCATTCAAGAACATTGCAGGAGAAATAGACCCAGTGCTCGGAGATCTCCATCTGGCGACGCAGCCGGTAGAGCTCTCCGCTTCGGACCAGCGAACGGAAGGAACTGTTGACGGATGCCACAGTGCCATAATAGGACCGGGAGAGGAGAAGAAGACAGCTCACTGTCAGATCCCTGCCGAGAGGGTTGATGAAGGTGCTGCAATCATTGTAGTCCATATCATTTTCGTGGTGATCAGAATTGTCAGTAGTGCGCTGCACATCTTCTAGATCAGGGGTATCGTGATGCTGTGGCGAATTCTTCCTCTTAATCTGATCTTCTTGTTCTTCCAATTCTTCATCTAATGGGCGCTTGTTGTTGCCCAACGAGTTGCCTTCCAACATAACTCTCAAGCACAAATCAACCCGAAAGACCAAGATTTCCTACCGCTAATAACCGAATCTCCTCTTTTCCTACCCAAGTATGTGAAGCCTCAAATCAGATTATAAACGAGGAAAACCCCTGATTCAAGAAAAATGAGCCCTTGAGAAAGAATTTTAGTGATGTGAGATGTAAAATCATCAAGAATAAGTCGAAAACATGTATCTAAACTGGAGAAAGGTCATCAAAATCGCATCTTTAATGTCTTCGATGAATCACCTATCTGGATGGAGGAAAACGGAACCGTCCCATCGAATCAGTTTGACCTCATTAAGGGCTCTATAGAGGAAAACCAAGTAAAAGAAGGGAAGGATAGAATAAAATACCATACCATCAGAACCGACCAGTCATCACAATAACAATTACCTGGTACAGAGAAAGAACCCAGCTAAAAATCCGAACTTTCATCGCCAACTCACTTCCACTTCCTCGGACTCAGCCCCATGATACCAAAAATGCAAAAGACAGGGGAAAAAAAGAGCAATTCTTGGTGTCCCAGACCAATAAAAACCGCAGATTTTCCTCCAAAACGTCAGAAAGATCTGAACTTTCGGATCAAACGAAGGAACCATACAGACTGACGTCCCGAAACAAGAAGGAAAGAATGGAAACTTACGGACTGGCCTATGACCACGAAGAGATGGAAAGGAAGAGACCAACGGAGGTTCCTTTTGGACGCCAAACTCGCCTCCTCCTTCTCCTTCGTTGAGCCCCGACTCCGTCGTCTCCTACGTCCCCTCTCGCTATCGTTCGCCAGAAGATGCCATTCGAGGCTCTGAGTCGGGCTCTCTCACTCCCTCCCTCGCTCTCGTTTTATTTGCCTTCAGCCCCAATTAAGTTTCGGCCATTCCATTTTCTTCGATTTTTTATCCCAATTAATTCCGTCAAAATAATTCCTTCTGGACTGTTCTTTAATACGGTCAATGGTCAAAATGTTTCTTATTATTATTATTCTTTGACCCATTTTTTCCTTCCATTAATGCTTGATCAAGAAACATATTAAGCCTTAATAAACTTCAGCGTTTTCTCTTATGACTCACTAATTGTCCATATACTTTATATATGTATATATATATATATATTCTTTAATTTTTTTAAAAAAATCCTTTCTATATGTCACTCTCATTAGTATGTATTCATCCATTCAATTTAAATTAATCATTAATAATTATATTACTAATTTTTTTTAAAAAAATATGATTATTTGATTATCAGTTTCTTAAACTTAGATTTATGAAGATAAATTAAAAATTATCAATTTAAGACGGTTATCAAACCCAATTAAAATTGGACTGTTACGTCTTTAACCGTCCTTCTATATGCTGTACAAAGCATAAACAAACAAAAAAACACGGACATACATAAATATTACATCAAATATCATGTTTAAAAGTTTGTCCGTGATAACTTGGAGAGACTTTCCACTATTTTTAAGGATATTTCGATTTTTACAATTATCATGTGAAACAAAGAAATAATTTTCAATAATAATAAAAAAATACTTTTTTTTTTTTCTGAATTTCTTGCTATAGTAGTGTTCATATACCTTTGTATGATTTAAAAGTATATATAGGATGCATATATAACACTATAATTTGTAGAGTTTATATCTTTGAGATTTTATGTGAAGTCTACTATTTCCACACCAATATTTTGAGGTATTATAATCTCCATGGTTAAATTAAATCCCATTTACCAACAAAGCTATTAAGAACAAAAAAAAAATTCATTTCATGACAAGAAATCACTCTATAAATTTATTTTAAATAAATAAATAAATCGAATAAGATTTCAAACTTTCAATAATCTTTCGATAAGTGGGTTTTGATAAATGGATCATTTTATAGAGATAATTGGTGGAACGTCCAAAAGGGAATAGAATGCATGCTAAAATAATATACATATGACAAGCTGCCTTTTATAAGGCGATGTGGAGTGGAGTAGGCCGAGTGTGACGGCGGCCATTAACGCTGAAATGATGAAAGGACTGATGTCTGTGACTTCCCTTTTAAAAGGGAATGCATGAATTGATGTTGATAATGATATGTCGATGTCACTATTGTCCTCGATACATATATTGGATTTCATCGACGATATGATTTTATTAATGTTAATTTCAATTGATTTGGTATTGAAATTCATCTATCTATATATTTTTAAAAAAAATTATATAATTTTCACCCGCTTTGATAGTCAAATGATAAAAGCGTGCGTAAATCAAAACATAAAAATATTTTTTTAATTCAAAAAATATTTTTCTGATCATAAACATATGGTGACTCAACTTGCGAAAGGGGATCCTTTGACGTTCAAAGGGGTTTATTTCCCTCTCTTATCGTTCGTTCAATTTATAGTTCATCTTAAAAACTTATTTAGATGACTTGAATTTATAAGAGACCCGATTGGGTTCACATCATCTTCTTGAGAGTAGAATTGCAAAGATCCTTTCCATCCCCAAAAATTCTCATCATCAATTTGCTCACGTTCTCCTTAAGATTCGTATTATCGAATGATTCTTATAATACACTAAGATTCGAGATCGGACCAAGTCAAACATACGAAGTGCACATGTTACATACGATTACATTCTTTATTCGTAATGCATGTGACAAAACCTACAAACGGTGTAAGACATCTAACTTTAAGAAGATTGGCCAACACAAAAAAATTGTTTTGGCACACCAACATGAACACGATAAACAATCACCATGGCCATGATCTCAAAGCCCACATAGAGCATATAAAAATGTGGCCATCCACTTATCGTAGCGCAAATGCTCAAAGTTAGAACACCGGCTTGCACTTTCGGTGAGAGTTGTGGAAGCGTGAGCACTTGTCCTAAAACGACGTGCCTTGGTACCTAAGTGTTCTTCAACACATGGAGTGTGTGTCCCATCTCCGAGTTCCAAAGCTCAATATATACCTCCCCGCTTGTACTCGATGCCTACGATTCCAAAGTAGGTGGATAAGGATGGACTTGTGGGCATGGGAGTACTTTAGACGGCTATCTTTTTTGCTTTGTGCTCTGATCTTGGAGAAGATAACAAGCACTAGAACGAATGTGGGCGAGGGAGCAAAGGCAATGATGTGATCCACGTCTAGGAATGGATGCAAGAGAAAAGCCTAAACTTTTGGGCTTGATCGAGAAGGGTTGGTGCGGTGGAATGGCAAAGAGAAGAGGAGAGAGGACAAGTTCTTTAGTAGAGATATTGGCATGCTCACCTACACCACCATGAACTTGATACGTGAAGCTCTTGTCCTCCTTGAATTCTTCTTCACTTGCGTGTATTACCCGCAAGATATATATATATATATATATATATATATATATATATATATATATATATATATATACACACTTTTATATGATTTGATATTGATTAAAAGAATGTCACATAATAATATATTGTATTATATCCTCTCTTTTTTTGTTGCACTCATAGATAGATTTACACGATAGATGTAAGAAAAATATTGATGTGAATAATGTAAGAGATTAAAAAAGGATCGAGGTCACATAGATAATGACTCATTTTTAGGTTATATCGGTGTCTTAGTTGGATTTTGATTTTTTTTTGGATCATTCAATATATCCAATTATATATCATCTATTCTTATAAGTCAACAATGCATTGTAAGATAAAATCTTAGCCTAATTTTGATCTTATTGCTAAAGCAATCCTTTTGACCTCTAAGACATCAAATGGTCAGCTTGTAGCCACACCTTCGTCTAAACCATTACCCACTGATTTGGTGGATTCGCATTCTTCTGGCCAAAAAATAATAAGGTGATGATTTGGTTTACATCATGAAAGTTCAAATCTGCTTCTCGCCAGCTTAGATACGTTTCCTTCACTCAAGACTTGTTCATTGGCTTAAGACTCACTCAATGGGTCTTTGGATGCTACTTATCATCGCAATGACAATCTCTATCACAAGTGGAGATCATAAAGTGGGAGGAAGCCACTCCTACATGGGAAATGATAGCCATGGATTCCTTTCGTTGTCTGATTGGAAGTTGGCGACTGCCTTCCCAAACTGACCTAAAAGAAGAGCTATGAAAGAGCAACAAATCAAAGTAATCAATCACACTGTGATTTATTAGGTCAGCTGAGATAGTGTCCTATTTCTCAATCTTCAAATTGGTGTTCTCATGGAATGTTTATTTTCGATGTTGATCAAAGCATACTCGATTTTTTTATTTTTTTTTCGGAGAACATGTATCTACTCGATTCGAGTCGGATTAGAATACCCGAGTTTATAATGAGTATGAATAGAAAAATAAATATCTGAATCAAATTTGAAATAAGCTCAGATACTAGTTTAGCAAAATAGGTTTACGAACGGATAAATTTTTTTAAAATTATTTATTTATAAGAATAAAATAATATAAATTAATGTATCATAATTTATAGTCATCAAATTACGGATAGAACGGAGCCTAATGCACCAAATCGATTTTTTCCTCCTCTTTTTTGTAGTCATCGATCTATCATCTCTTTTTGTGATGTGAGTGCAAACAGGCCTGTGTTGGTTGTTGCTTAAGAATAGGAAGAACACCAAGAAATTGCTTGAGCTAATCATGCATGGTGAGTACAGTGGTAGGTCTGAACTTTATTTGGTCTGCCACACTTCACATGCATTTTGCCTTCGCAAGAACATACCGACTGCTCTCTCTCTCTCTCTCTCTCTCTCTCTCTACATCCCGTCAGTTTTTCCTCTCATATAAGAGTCGATAGATAGCTTGGTGTCCAAGTACGTAGCTCATCTACATGCAGGTTTCAGCAACCAGATCCGAAGCTTGCACCGTGAAGAAGACGACTTGAGCCAAAGGCTCATGGAACTGCATGCTCCTATGATAGCACCAGCATCGCTGTTCGAGTCCGATGCCGGCGACCGAGCTGCGGAACAAAACCCGACTTGCTTCCATGAGCTAAACTTGGCTGCCATTTGGCGATGAGTACAGCACACACACACGTACTGTGTGTACGTGTCTTCGTCCTTGGATCTCAGAATTCAGATGCGTCACGAAGCGGATTACCCCAGAGTTATACTGGGCCACCATTGGCGGGCTTGGTCGGGTATACGGTGGGCCGACCCAATGGAAGGTCAGTCCATTCCTTCTATAATAGAAGAATCAGTGGTTTTAATATCTATCCATTTGATTATTCTGCTAAGTTGCAATGTGTGTGTGTATATATATATATGTCTCCTTCCAAAGTCAGTAATTTTCATATTTATTTATTTTATTATTTTTCTAGTTTTTGTAGTTAATCTCCGTTGGTTGACTCTCATTTGACTGTCGGCATTGAAACATAAAATTTTCTTTTTTACAAAAAAAAATATTTTTTTTTATGATGATAGAGATTAAAAGAGAATTACTTTGATCCAACACTCTAACACCTTAGTTTGGGTGGAGGGTCACACCAATAAAAAAATTCCTATAAATTATGACGTAAATTACCAAAGTTATTTATTTTTTTATCTTGATGAGATTTTAGTCGTAACAAATTTAGGATTAATTATAAATTATCCCTTATAATTAGTTACTTTTAGTATTCCGATCTCTATATTTTTAAAAGTTACGTTGAGGTCTCTATACTTATAAAA